TTTGAGTTATCTCCCTGGCTGGGTGAGAGGCACCTAGACTCAGCGGTGTCAGAGCCTTCCCCACCCTGTCCCAGGTACGAGGGCATGCCTGGCCACTGACCCGAAGACCCAATTGCTGGCCCTGACCTTGGGATGCTGTCCCCCTTAACCTTCATTGGATGGGATGTTTCCTTGAATTTTTTGTTCCCCAATAAAAGCTCACTCCCCGGCCTGCTCTCTCTCTCTTGCTAGCCTGTTCTGTAAACTTCGCCACCGCATTAGGTGGGAAATAAAGGTAAATGAGGGTCTGTCTCTTTAATTTTAAAACTCMCTAGCAATTTTTTATGCATCGAACCTTCTTTTATGAAGCCAGCACTGGACACATGGCAGAAACGTGTTTAAAAAAAAAAATAAAAAGGTTTTTGAGTGCTTTATATATCCTAGAGATTAGTTCTCTGATGTGCTTGAGGTAAAGATTTGCTCCCATTCTGTAGGCTCTCTATTCACCCCACTGATTGTTTCTTTTGCTGTCACTCACTTATTTTTAATTTATGTCTTGCAGTTTTTGTTTCCAGGCTCTACTGTGTGGTAATAGCTTTTATTTAGAAATCTTCCTGATAACACAGTATTTCTAAAGATATTTGAAGCAGCAGTTGAGAATTTTATCAGGTGGTATTACACTTGGGTGCAAACTATAGGAAGCTGGATAAAGAGTGGCTTACCTTGTTAGGGGTTTGTTTGTCTGATATAGAAAAGTTTAGAGTAGGCTGTGCAAGAGAAGACTGGGGTGGCAGATGTGATTCCTGCTTCCTGCTTAATCTTGGCATTTGTTTTCACCTTGTGAAATAGTTTCTGTACCTCCAGGTACTGTGTCTTCCTACTTCTCTGACCTTTTTTTGTTAATTTCCTTCATGACCTTCAAGAACCTTTAAAAAACATAAACATAAATCATTGTAAATGTACTTCAAATTTTCTCCATTTTTTTTTTCCACAAACAAGGAAAGAGAAGGCTGAGGGCAAAAGGAGACTTTGTCTTTTAATTCATGAAGTGGAGTCTTCCCAAGGACAGTTTGCCTTACATCTACTTGGCCAAAACTATATCATGGAATCACTTCTACCTACAGAAGTATTTGTGTAAACAGGTTTTTGTAATTGAACACATAGCTCTCCTAACAAAGCAAACTTCTTTTATTAAGAAAGGGAAACTGGTTACTCGGTAAATAGCAACTGTCGGCCTTGGCTAATAAGTGTATTTAAATAAAAACAAACATGGGAGTTATAGGTACCTTCCACCCATGGATAAGTTGACACAGGTGAGTCAGAGATTATTGTCCCACAATTTGCTACTCCTTCATTTGCTCAGTAGGTTTTTAAAATATTGATTGTAAGTTGCATTACATTTCAGAAAAGCTGAAACATGGAGAGAATAAAACTCATTGTGTGAAGGAAGTGATTGTGCATGGTATTGTTATTTGGACTCTGGGATCATGCCCAGCACATGAGGTACCCTTGGTGGCTTCCTATTGCTACATGGGAAGCTTTTTTGTCATTTGCGATCCACCCTGAAGGCCATGAGCTCTAAACCATCTCTGCTTGGAAAGCTTGGACCCCAGTGTTTTAGGCCACAGTCACCTCTGCAGATCTTAAAAACAACCGGTAATGGTGTGACTCATATTCTTTCCTGATGCTAAGGCCATAAACATCCATTGGGAAACTTCCTTCTCTGGGTTAAATTTTTTCCAGTTTGTATAGTGGGTGATTTGCTATAGTATTAACTACCTTATATAGTATTAACTACCTTATATGGGTCTTAGTTTTTTTTTTCTTTTTTCTTCCATTTCTTCTTATTTTTTTAAAAAAATTTTTTTTGTAGATGGACAATGTGCCTTTATTTTATTTATTTTTATGCTGTGCTAAGGATTATACTCAGTGCTTCATACATGATAGGGAAGTGCTTGCTACTGAGCTATAGCCCAAGTCTTCATTTCTTCTTTTTACTCATTTAGCTTTTCATGAAAGAGTCAGGAATCATGGGGATCAGTGGCTAACAAAAGGCTTGAGATTGGGCCTCTTGTCACAACCTGAGCACTTGGTTTATAGGAAACACAGCATCTCTGTGCCATAGACCACTCCCCTCCTGGCTGTTCTCCACGGAATTCATGTGTTTAAACCTAAGCTCCAGTGCAACGACATTAGGAGGTGTGCTGTTGGAAGGGGATTAGGCTCCAGAAAAGTAACTTGTCCTTTCCACCACATGAGGACATGGCAGAAAGCTTCCATCTGAGAACCAAGAAATGGGCCCTCACCAGACTCCAATTCTGGAGCATCGTGATCTTGGATCTCTAAGCCTCCAGAACGGTGAGGAATAAATTTGTTTATATGCCACACAGTCTGGTATTTCATTATAACAGCTCGAATAGAATAAGATGTCCACTATATAAGTTACAAGTATACTAAATATCCAACAATAGACTAGTAGTTAGGTGTATATGTACATGATGGGATTTTCAGGCAGATATTAAGATTAACGCTTTTAAAAAATGTCAGTGTCTAGAGAAAGTATTTATGATATGTCGTTGAATGAAAGGAGCAAGACACAGTCTGTTTTACCAAGTGTGATCCTGTGAAAGGAAAGATCAGTTGTACCACAGGGATTGCATCGACAGATGTGTCTGGTGTGTGCCAAGTTTGTATCAGTGTGTATAGGGTGGGGTAGGGAAGTAAGGAAGCCGTTTTGTCTTTTCTGTATCCTAGTAATGAGAATATATGAGTTTTAAAGTGGCCACAGTTTGGGGTAAAGACAATGTTATCTGTGTATACTTTATTTGGAAAACCACGGTTTTATTATGTATCTTGATTTTTTTATTACTATCATAAATATTTAAAATGTGTTGGAGTTATGGAGCTCTCAGGAGCAGAAAGTTTAAGTTCATTTCTCTAAATTTTGACAGTGGTTGCCTAGTAGTAGCATTACAGGTCACTGTTTGTTTTATGATTTCCTGAACAAATTCAAATAACTTGTTTTATAAACAAACTGGATCACAAAGGATATCGGATATCATAGTATGCTAAGAAGGCATTGTTATGGTTTGGATCTGGAATGTCTCCTGGAAGCTCTGTTGAAGGCCTGGTCCCCAATGCTGCAGTGTTCAGGGGTGGGGCTTTGGGTCAGGGCTCTGACCTCATCAATGGATTAATCCTTTGGTAGCTGAACAGACTAGGTGATTTGGTGAAAACTACAGGCAGGTGGGCATGATTGGAGGAAGTAGGTCACTGGAGGAATGCCCTTGGCACTGTCTTGTTTCTGTTTCCTTCCTCTTTCTTTCTGCTTCTGGTTCCATGATTGAGTACCTTTTTTCCACCATGCCCTTCCGCCATGACATTCCACCTCACTCAGGCCCAAAGCAATGAAGCCAGTCAATTGTGGACTGACACATATGAAATCATGAGCCAAAATAAGTCTTTCCTCTTCCAAGTTATTCTTGTTGGGTGTTTTAGTCACAGTGATGAAAAACTGAGTTAACATAGAATTTATATACCCAGGGGTAGTGGGGAACCTTTAGAAATATTTTAAGCAGGAAAATGACATGATTGTTTYCACAAGAATATGCTCTAGTTGTAGATCAGAATAAGTAACCACTTTGACTTAAGTTTCCTCATCTATATAACAGGAACAATAAAATCTATCTAGTAGGCTTTTAAGGGGAAATTAAGCAGGAATAAATGATGCTTTTAAGCCAGTTGAAGTTTCAAATAATATAACCGCATTTCTGAAACTGTGTATCAGTGAAGCGAAAAAGTAAACTTTTCAGAAATGAGAAAAGTCTGTATTCAAGAAATTCAGATCACTTTTATAAATTTGTATTTATAATTGTGACATAATTCTCTCATCTTACAATATCACTGAACTTGAAGTTGACCTATTTTTCTAGCATTTTATTTGTGTCCRTACTAACTACACCATCTTGTTAGTCATTCAGGAACTTCAACCCAGTGAACAAATGCTCTTTGCACATAGCATATAACACATTTTTGTGTGTGTGTGGGGGGGTTGGGTAGGATGGAGATAACTGTGTGTAAGAGCTTATTTTGTGAGCATTTTATTTTCTCTGATGAGAGGTCTTTCTAACTGCTTGATCTCTCAAAATGGTTCTTTGCCCTGGTCTTGTAAAATTTTCTTCATCTTTAAGTTTGTTCTTTACGCAGATTCTTCATAATCACTTAGAAAAGGCAATCTTGTTTTATTATGTTTTACATGCCTGTTTAAGACACTGAATATTGTCATTCCATCTGTATTAGTTAATACAGACCCTTAGCTTCTTTAGAAGGTGGATTAACATTTGGCATATCTGTAGATGTGTCCACAGCTCCTCAGGAGCACACCTGACCCCTAGTGACCAAAGAAGGAAAAGTGAAGGATAAGAGGAATGAGAGGGTTAAGAAACTGTTCACAGGAAGATGGTGCTCCTGGTTTCCTCTCACCTTGGAAGCGGAGAACATTTTCCTCTTGTGAACTGATGAATGGATTCTCTCATGACAGTGGTTATAGCTGTGAAATGTCTGAAAGAGGCTGCTGAGGGGAATAGAAATGCTGCTCTCATCAATCAACGAAATATTGGCTTCTCAGATGTGGTACCCACGGTTTTCAAATGGTTTGGGGCAGCAGGAGCTTTAGTGACTGTAAATGTCAACTACTTGTGGGGTGGGGGTCAGGTGGGAAGAGGTCATGGTCAGTGGAGAGCTGTAGCTCTCTCCCCTCACGTCTGTTCCTTCTGGGCAATCTGATGGAGCCTGGGAAGCGTTCTGGGAAGTCTAGGTAGAGAAGTCTCTACGGCAGGACCTGCATAGTCCTGCATTGGATGTCCAGCRTGCAGACAGTGCAGGACACCTCTGTCAACCACCTCTTTTTTGCATCGGTTACCTCTGACAATGAGAAATYGAATCTCATTATCATGTTTCAGTTTGGAAACATTTATTGTTTCAGATGAGCATTTCTCTTCTTTTGTTTGTCTTCTCTCTAGATAAAGAAGAAGCAGCAGGATGTGGTTAGATTTCTGGAAGCCAACAAGATAGAGTTTGAGGAGGTGGATATCACAATGTCAGAAGAACAGAGGCAATGGATGTACAAAAACATCCCCCCAGAGAAGAAGCCTGCCCAGGGCAACCCGCTGCCACCTCAGATATTTAATGGCGACCGGTACTGTGGAGTAAGTGGCTGGACTGTTACCACACCATTTCATTTTCTTACTCATAGCACATCAGCTAGAGTGCAGCTGTATTTTTTTTTTAATACAGTGAAGACTGTGACCTCTTCACTCAGGGCCATAATCCAATGAGGGAAAGCTGGAGGGCATATGAATCCAGCGTCACATTCAGTGTGTGCATGTGAGTGGTTGTGTGGTGTCTTGGGTGTGAGTCTGTGTCTGTCTTCCTGTTTCTCTCTGCTTTGAAAGAGGGGATGGGAAGGGAAAATGTGTGTATGTGTACTTGTTACGTTCTAAATGAAGCTTATCTTTCAATTAATACATTTGGTGGGGCAGAGTAGAAGAGGGAATTATTTTTGAATCTTTATCCCTCTRTGGTATAAATAACTACTGAAAACTGATTATAACTCAGAGTTCCATTTTTTATGATTATGAACCAGAGGGATTCCTATGAACTTCTAAAACCTATTAGGTGTCTTTCTGCTATAAGTACCATTTAAGAAGGTGAAGATAATTTTGTTTAATTATCTACCTACCTTCTTAGTCCTTTTGTTAAAAAAACATTTGGTGAACTTCTTTCTAGGTTAGGATTTGCCTTTTGCTGTAGCTTTAAGTACATGGGTCAGTGTTTATTTTGGGACCATAGTTCTTTTGATGAGGCCTGGAGAAGGAGAAGGAGAAGGAGCTGCATTGCTGAGGTACTTGAGACCATAAATAGTGGGGTTGTCTTTAGGGTGGAGTAAGGGATGATAGTGTGCTTTAGTGACTTCAGAGKAAGCAGTTGCCTTTCCCCAGGGCTCACACAGAATAAGAAGTTGGAAAGTAAAGCCATGAATAGACTGCACAGCTTTCTTAGCTGTAGATGTGTGAGGAGAATCCTGAATGTGGACTAGGCATAACTGGTCCTGGTACTACCTTACATTGGACAAGATACCTTTGGAAATTTACTTATCTTTTTAAGCCTGTTTCTCATCTTTAAGAAAAGGAAAGTAGTATCTGTCTTACCTCCAAGGATGTCTTGTCACTGTTTCTAAAGTCCTTCTTATAATACATTATAATATGAAAGTAAAGGTTATTATTTTGTGGGTTTTTTAATATCACATATTTTACTGGGTGAAGTAATAGGTGTGTACTATTCATGCATGACTGCAGAGAATAGAGCGTACTATTATGCTTGTAGACCAAAGTGAGGAAACAGTTGAAAATAAAACTAAAAATCAAGTAGCGCTAGAAGGCTTAAAACAAAAATYCAGCATTTTTTTCTCCCTAGGACAGGTACRAAAATACCTCTGTGCCTTTTGTAGTGTGGGGGTACTTTCTGGGTGTAGAAATCTAGGTTGAAAGAATTTGAATGCTGTTGCTTCATTGTCATCTGCTTTCCAGAGCTGCAAGTGAAATGTCTAATGCTGTTTTCCTTGATCTTTATTTATATGTTGTTTGTGTCAGTCTCTTMCATGTAAAGTTTTAAGGTCTCTTATTCAGGTATGTACTCAAAATTTTTTGGTAAATTACTGTCGTGTACACTATTTTGCATTCATTGTGGTGAGTGCTCATTGTGCCTTTATAATCAAGAAATTGTATGATTGTATTATTAAATATGTTCTTGTATTGTTTTCTCTGAAACACTTCTCCCTAGTTTTTCCCTGTTGCCTTTGTCTTGAGTGCCTTTTAATTTAGGCGTTAGATTTTTCATATAATTTTCTAATCTGTTTTTCCCTATTATCTCCCTCTTTGATTTTTTGCTCCTTCTTTAACTCTTAATTCTTTCATTTAATTTTTATGTCATTCCCTGCCCCCCTTGTTTTTTAGTCTTTTTTTCTTTTATTAGTGCATTATGTTATACATAATAGTTGGGTTCATTTTGACAAAATCATACATGTATGGTTTTAATTTACTCCATTTCAGTCCTCAGTGCCTCTTCTTTCCTTTCCCTCCTCCCTCCCACTATTCTCTTTCCTCTACTGGTCTTCCTTTCACTCATTTGTTTATTTTTATTTTTTTACTTTATTTTATTTTTTTAACAACTAATACATTTTTATTTATATATGACAGCAGAATGCATTACAGTTCTTATTACACATATAGAGCACAATTTTTCATATCTCTGGTATTCACATCAATTYGTGTCTTCATACATGTACTTTGGATAATAATGATCATCACATTCCATCATCAATTATAACTCCATGCCCTCTCCCTTCCCCTCCTAACCCTCTGCCCTATCTAGAGTTCATCTATTCCTCCCATGCTCCTTCTCCTTATCCCACTATGAATCAGCCTCTTTATAGCAAAGAAAACATTCAGCATTTGGTTTTTTGGGATTGG